AAAAAAAAAATACATAATATACTTATTAATATAAATAGAATATGAATATGAAACTGTACCTAGTGAGTAATTGTCAAGACATTGATTACACAGACTTTTACATCCCATGCAGTAAGCTTACTCTTCAAGTTGCCGAGTATTTACATGTAAACAGTTTAGGCAAGGCTGTGACTTAAATATAAATATAGTTCAAATATAGCCCCCGTAGGCTTGCAATAAAGAATTGCATGGAAATTTCTTTTGTAGCTGTTGATCACTTTCACGGAAAGGTAAGAAATCAGCAAAAGTCTCGTAAAGACTTCCTGTGGTCATCGTCGGGCTTCCTGTGTGATTCAATATGGCGTCGCAAAACAGTTTCGTTTCTTTACGACACTTTTGCCTATTCTTACCTTTCCGTGAAGGTGATAAATAGCTACAAAAGAAACTTCCATGCAATTCCTTATTGCAACCCTAGGCCTACGGGGCTATATGTGAACTATATTTGTTTTTAAGTCACGGCTTTGCCTAAACTGATGTAAATACTCGGCAAAGAATAAGCTTACTGCATGGGATGTAAAAGTCTGTGTAATCAATGTCTTGACAATTACCCACTAGGTACAGTTTTTAGTGGGAAAGGAACGAGCCGACACTCAAAACGTCTGCACAGCAGGCTAGCCGGCTATGAGATACTGAAAAGTTCCAAAAAGAAAATGATTGACAGGCTGTCCATTAGTTTCTTAACATAAACCAGGCATCTTTCAAATTTCAGAGACGCATTTTTAATTTGCTGGATTTCTGCTTTGTTCTACGTTGTAAATTACCAATTTTATTGGCTGTTTTCATTGACGATTTTCTTGTATCATTTATTATGCGAATAAAGACACTGAAAAGTTTGTAGCCGTATGCTCTGCGTCATGTGTCGGAGTTGTGGTTAAATGATGATGGCATCCTTAAATAGCGCTAATTTTAGAACTCTATGGTTGCGTTGAAAATGGTGTGCTTTGTATTCGATATCGTTTCTACGCCTCTATATATACCAGTCATATATGCCTATGATGATATGCATATTTACCCTTGACTTGTGGACCCTCGACAAAAAGCCACAGTCCGCGCGCTAGCTCGATGTCCTAACAAGTTTCCATGCTTCCGGTCAAGATAGAACGCTTTCACACTGTTTGTTTTTCAAATGATTTCATCTTTAAAATATCCTCAATGCGGTGGCATACCCGATAAACTCGGACTCGGACTCGGACTCAAATTGATTTTTTTTTCTTTTTTTTGTTTGTTGATATTTTGAAATTGAAAAATAATATTAAAATTCTTACACCAGAAATAATATAAATCAAAGTAATGATGATGATTCACTTACACTGGACCGCTCGGACTTGAGTTTCCCCAACCAAAATTGAATATTCGAATAGTCGGACAGAACATTAATCGGTAATAAGTGGTCTTAGTTGAAGGCGGGGCTTTTTTTTTTTAATATGAGGATAAAGACGGCGTGTGTTACAATTTTGTAATCGTATTTGAGCCTAACAGACACTTTCAGGCCGAGTATAAGGTTCTGTACGTTTTCTAGTATAAGAAGTGATTTTTTTATCCGCTTCAGCGTTGCGTGATGTCAACACTAGTCTCCAACTTGACTTCTAGACCGCGAAAAACCTAACATCGAAACAGGGAGACAATCAGTGTGCCGAAACAATGTATATTCCAAAGAAAGACCAACCGTCGCTTTCACAAACTTTTAACGTTTCACTCTGGGACACCGGTAATGTTTACATGTGAAAACATCAAAGTTTAAGGCGCCAAACATCAAACTTTGGTCATCAAAAGTTAACGTACCCTCCATTAGCGGCGGTTTTCTTTAGAAGTGTTTCCGCTTAGGTGAAAGCGACGGAAAGACACTGTTAGTATTTCTATTTTGACATTACTGCATGACATTTTGTGTACCCTGTCTTTAATCGATCTGTTAACACTTATTGATACCCCGCTATACAGTTTTGTGGAGATTTAGCAGTGACGCCAGACGCAGTAAAACTAAATTCAACTTCAAGTTTTATAATGTGGATTGTAATACCACAATGAATAGAAAAAAAAGGAGAAATGCGTGCTGATTTTTCCTTTTCGTCATCGCGAACCTCGATATGGCAAGCACTAAAACTTGCTAAACTTTGTACCATGCAGTACTTCTTTCTTGTTTGTATCTTCCTACCAGAAAGTGCATTCCACCTTCAATCCCAATGTGAAATGTGTTGTAGATTTTACGACCTGGTGTAGGAATATTTTTATTATTCATTTCAATTTTAAAATTTCAAAACCATCAATTCGAGTCCAAGTCCGATTCCGAGTCCGGGTTAGGGACATGCCCAATGTAGCGCCTTGTTTAGCAAAGTATTGAACTCCTTAATTTGTATTTACATTGCCATTGCAGCCAAAACCCATCTAAATAACGGATAGGGGGATTTAAAATCGAACTAAAACTGTAACGTATTATAAGTATATCATATAAATTTGACAGTTTTAAAAACAGCTACTTATGAGGTCATAAATTTGATCTCCAAAATCTTGTTGTTTGTAGAGTTTTTTCTCTTGTTGTTTTGAAAAACCTAAATGTTTTTTTCACTGAAAACAGACAATTGACCAAATTTCAACAGTAAATTAAATAAATAAAAGGAATCTATGATACTCAATTTCTTCAATTTCATACCAATCAACAGAAGGGTATATATCTCAATCACCTCAGAATGATTGTCGTGGTGTTGGTGGTGGGGGGAGGG